TTTATTCGTTGGTACCTTTTTTTTAGTATTGGATATTGTGAATAGCGAGATCGTCCATATTGAACGTTTGACTAGATTTGACTGAACAAAGGCAGAATAAAAAAATAATCACTAACCAGTATCGCCTTACTTAAAATAGATTAGCATCTTTATTCACAATCAATATCTCCTCATCGGAGACAATCGCAACTGTATACCGGTGGTCATGACCACTAACGAACGGACGGCCACAACGGGGACATGAGGTGTTCTAAATTCGTGTTAAACCAGCCGAAACGTAAACACACGTAAGTCGAATAGCATTGAAAAAATTCGTAAGTAATGGGCGTGTCATTAGGCGATCGTAGTTTACGCTTGAAAAATACCACGGACATCATCGGACAGAAATGCGTCACGGTTCCGGAAGAGGATTCTCTTATTCGCTCGAAAACGCTTGAAAAACACGTTCTGTTATTGTTGTTTCGAAACGTTATGCGTTTCGATGGGACGAGATTAGTTGAAATCATGTCAATACGCTCAACGTAACTCGTCCAACGACATGTTACCGACTGCTGCGATATCGTTTAGGATCAGGTGCGCAGCTATTCGCGATCGAAACGCAGACGAGTGCCGTACAACCGAGCACCTGCTCCGCCGTACGAAACGAAATAGTTATTATTACGTTTCTCAAGTCCTAATGTCCGGGACATTAAATCGTTTATACCGTCTTCGAGAAACAGACGTAGGCACCCTTGGCGAGTGTGGGATCGAACGGGCGATAAACGTTCGCGGTCCGCGCGGGTAGTTTATAATCTCTCCCCGTTGTTTCGCCACCGCCGTCGTAATCGTCGGTCCCGGCAATATTTATAATCGGTTGGGTATTTGATCGGCGATCGCAGGTATGGGTAATTAGTACGCAACGACGTACGCGCGGTGCAAATGTTGCATAAAACGTCCGACGATGGGAATAATAATTAATCGCCCGCGCGACCTTGATGGTAGTGTGACGTGCGTTCCTCTCGGTTTTCCTTTCCGCCCTCCGTGCAGTAACCTAGGCGCAAAAGAGCATTTGCTCCTGTGCGGCATAAGTGAAATTGCCTCGAAAAAATTATTTAACATCGTCATTAAAACAAGGAAAAATTTCTAATTCGTCAATTTTATGCATGGAATCCGATTTGGCCGAGGAAACGAAGTGAGAAGAACTAACACGAAAACTTGTAACTAATAAATCCAAACACCAGCGCAGCTCTCGCGAATCGCACGGACGTCTTTTGCCGACGATGATTCATCTAATCGACTCGCGGTGGTCCAGACCGATTGAAAAACGGTCCCCGCGAACGATCTAACTGAATCATTATCACCGCGCAGTGCTGTCGTTGTGACGCAGTCGAACGGTCCTGCGTACAGCTGACGGTCGTTTCGTTTCTGTTTCGATGTTGTGCTGCTCCATTTAGAAATGGAAAAATCCACTCGAAATTTATCGATCGTAAGTTCAACTTATGGTCTTGCACAATCAGAGTCTTTGCAGTCTTTTAATAATTTTGTGCATTTATAAAATATTTGTAATAGGCGACCGACGAGAACGAAAATCGAACCTCGGAATTGAGAATACACATATGTGTGGTGGACATGTTAAACTGACACTAGCGTATAAATACTGTGCATGGTGTCGGATTAATATTTTAGCCGTTTTGAAAATCAATGTCCGATCGTGTTAAATAGTTGTTTACCTGTTAATGTTCGAATTATTGTTTTTCGATGAGAAATTCGCGAACACTTTTTACCTTTTAATGTTGACCAGCAACTACATTACCGGACGAGTAAGCCGATTAATTGCAAATATTAACAATAATACGCGATTCTTAGCAACATTTTCCAGTATTCCGGGACCTTAATTAACCTGATTCGTTTGAGTGCCAATGAGCAACACTGACTCGACCTAGTGTTTTGTATGATATCGTATCGTTTAAAATAATATTAATACCTACAGTAAATATAAATATACATATATTGTAGCATTTTTACTAATGAAAATTAATAAAAATGTTTAAATGAAATGGAATAACTATGAATTAGTTATTTCAGTTATTATAATTATGTGAAGATATATAGTGTAGGAAAAAGAACAATTTGAGTCTGCAAGTATCAGTTGGTGTACCGAACACGGTTGAAAAAAATCAAACATCATGCATATTTTAACAGCATATGCGACACTGCAGTAATAAGGCAAACATACAAAAAATTCGTGTTTAAAAATAATTATTCGGGAAAACTGTTTTCGGTGGGTCATGACGACAACAATGATTGTGAACGTTTTTCGTTAAGACATCGTAATCGGATTTCGGCGTGCAAGATCGGCATATTTAAGATAATCACGAGATGTTTGAAAATTATTTATAATTTTGAGTTGTAGACTGTGTTAATGTATAAAATGTATAACAACGAAACGATAACCATGTCACGTGGTTTAATGTATATTTTTCGCGCTAAACCTGTTCCCATAAGTCTATCTGGTTTGTCTATACAATATGACCGCGTTGTCACCGTCGTCGTCGTCGTGACCGAAACGAAGGACAAGTATCGCAGTATAGAAGGGAAAAGGGTTAATGGACGAAATGATAAACGAGCTTTAAAAAAAAAAAGGATTAATGCAGCAGGTACAATTGTAACCGACTGGTTGATATAGATTTTTCGTAAAAAATGGAATAAAGATGGGTTAGGAGCCTGCGCCGACCGTGGGAACTGGTGGAAGAGAAGAAAAAGAAAGAAAAAAAACCATCGTCATTATCTGGTGACCGCCTCTGACGCGCGCGGTCTTCTGCCGCACCGCACGGCCGTAACGTTGTGCGTTGTTGTACGCACTTAAAATATAATAACAATAAAAAAATCAGAATATAAAAAAAAAAAAAACAAATGCACTTCCTAACTAATGGTATTGTCGTTAGCCCGTACGGTTTGTGCACTATATATTTCGGGCGTTTCCACTCGGATCGGGTCAACGCGCAAACGGTACACGTGTACGACGTGAGACGGAATGCAAGGTTACTGGGCGTTGCGATGTTTCGCGCGTTGATTAATCGAAAAGCTCGGTTAAAGCAACGCACTTTCCGTGGCACGACATGTCGGACGGGTCGATACCGTAGCCGATCGGCTCGAGTGGTCTCACGCGATTGAGTTTAAAAAACGATCTACGGGCGATCTGCGGAAAACAATCCGTCGGATCGGTGAACAAATTAAGAATCTGTTCCGTAGCTTTTACGTAACCACGCTTTCGGCGCTAGCGGTACCCGCCTAACTACTACAATAATCGCAATCACTGTTTGTGCACCGGACGATGATGAATATCTTCCGACGGTAAGCAGCGAACAAATTAAAACGTACGGGGCAATCACTCCGCACTTGTACGATAGTTAAAAACGAATTACTATAACGTTTTATTGACCGAGCCGAAGATAACATTTTCCACCCGTGTTAACCGAAATGGTTACGTTTGCCATTGATTCACGCGCACAGTGCTCGGTAGCGCTGCCATCGCTTAACCGTAACACGAGTTCTTTATTACCGACTCGCGGGCCACTTTCCGAAGTGTGAACGATAATTATGATGCACACGTGGTGTACGTAACGTTCAGACACGAAAGTGTGTCCGCGCGAAACTTCTTACGCGCGTACGTGCACGCGCACGAGGGAATGATATTGTCGTCACGTCGTAATAAATCCGAAGCGTATACGTTTTGTACAACGCTTGTGCCGTATTAGCATGCAAAACGCTGTCGGAAACGAAACGAACTCTTTTTTTTCTCAATACCGAAATACGGTCGACGACCATTGTTATTAAATCGCGCACGGCCATTACATGTGTTGCATTAGACTAATGCCGTCCGGACCGCAAGAGATGCGCGCGCGCAACACCCATAATCATATACTTTCACAATGGACTCGTAATTAGAATACCGGAGATTTTTTTTTTTTTTTCCGTCACTTTTCGAAGACTACACGGTTGTCATACACCGCAATATATATTTATGTGTACGTATGTGCGCCGAGCGCGTACGCTACGATATATTATATGGAGAAAAAAAAAAAAATAAATAAACAGTTTTGTTCACTTGCATGTCGCGCGCGATAGACGACGCGGTCGTGTTTACTCCGTCGCACGACAACGTCGATCTTTTCTGCTCGATAAACAATATTGTGTAAAAATGTGTCTGCGTCGCCGCGGGGATTCGAACGCGCGTATTTGTCTGCGACCAAAAGTACCCCTACGCGTTGCGTGTTACACCTGCAGCGGCCACCGAAACCCGTCCAGCCGCCCTCGTTGTACACATATATTATACAACGCGTCGCGCCCACCCCTCTCTCACTCCGTCCCTCGAGTTTTTTAAGGGAAATTCGAATCCCGGGTGCACCGATAACACTATTATGCATTATGTACATAAAATATTATGCGCAGCGCAAACCACCCGTCTTTGTACCTGATGGCACCGGACCAACCCTCGCCGCCGTCAAAATGTGACGCCGAATCTCTTGTAACACGTAACACGGCCGTAGAAAAAAAAAAAAACGCGTTTTTATCCCGATCGCACCGCGCAGTAATGACTGTCCGAGAAATCGCACGGCCTCAACAACGCGCGCGCGCAGCTGCGGTGCACGACTCGGTGTTCCTGAGCGCTGTGACGATAATCATTGTTCGCGATTTAGTTAATCGCTTCCGCCAGCGCATTATTCACCGCCTGTTGCGTTGTTGACACATGTAAAACGACGTTGCTCTGTAACGACGAAATCGGTTCCGTTTACGCGGGGCCCAGTGTTTTCATTACGGTTTTCAACAGCCGCCGAGATTGTTACGCGATGATTTCGCGCGATCCGACGAAAACCTACGCGGCGACGTCGGACGGCTGTGGAACGATAACAATGTACGTGATGTACGTGATTTTCTAATCGACCTTATCGATTGTGTACACGGCGTCTGGTTCACCCGGCGTGATGTTTAATCTTTGGCCGTCGAGACGTTCAAGAAGCCGCACCCCCGAACACCTTACCGCGTCGGAAACTTCGCGATTAGTCACGATACTATGTGATGAAATGTTTAAGTAATGCGACACAAGCAACTCGTGCGACGATGATAAATGGTAAACAAATTACTAATGTTTACTGATTGTTCGAGAGTTGTAATTCTGATTTTGTTATTTTAGGATCGGGTGCGAGCGAGAGGTGCGAGGTTCAGGTGGGGAATACGAACGGCGGCCGATACGGTCAGAAAGAAAGGGAAGAAGCAGACGACGAGAATAAATAATGGAAAACATTTCATCCGAAATATGGTAAAATATGATAATTTTTTTTTTTTTTTTTTTACCGCCCAAAAACTATAAATGTCCGATTTATAAAAAAAAAAAAAAACGATTAACTGCGAAATGGTAATACACAAGTTTGGGAGTTACCCGTTTCCGACAAAAACGAAAAATGTACGATTCCCGTTTCTGCCAAAAAAAGTTTGGAAACCAATGGTTTTGTTCAATATTGAATATATGCTGTGGTATATATAAAATACAATAACGTTTGTAATGTATACACCGATAATCTTCGATGAAGGAAGGAAGCATGCACTGTATTATAGTTTATTTTTAATCCGCACACAATAATTATCTGATGAATGTTAAATTCTCATATATAGTATTTCGATTCAGTATCTGTTCTGTTTGTCACCAGACTAACAACACTTAATACCGTTTCTTAAAATGGAATTTGTTGTAAGCAAAATAGGTAAAACAATGTTGCTTTTCGATGGTTTAAAATATGTTTTTGGTCAGATGTTACATGAAAAATTGCCGGGTCAATATTTTTGAAAAAGAAAAAGTAATGCGTACATGTCCCCAGTACCCCCACATACGAAATTCGTATTTTTTTTTTCTTCTAAATATTTCGTATGCAATTGGTATGAATTTGTATGCCTATTCCCCAAATTTTTACGAACTTAGTTGTAACACTACGAACGAAAAATCGGTGCTGGGGATACGTGTTATTATTAATATTGAACTCCCGACAAATCTCGAAGTTTTTTTAGAAAAAACATATTTCGTCCTTTAGAAGAGCGTCAATAACTCGAGGGAATATTAGCTCAGCACTAGAAGAACATAATTCGTTTAATGAAGTTGATACAGGTGTACAGGTTGATACAATACAAAGATCACCAGATAATATATTATAAAAAATTATCAATGAAGATACAGTGATAAATATATCTAAAACTATACAAGTAAATTCAAATGAATTGGCATGCCCTCTGTACAATACAGGTAAATTAGACATGTTATTATCTACTGTTACAATCTACTGAAAATAAACCGACAAATTTAGACGGAGATCATTGGCATGTGAGAATTGGAATAAGAAACCTAAAAAAAATAAAAAAAATAATTCTTATCTTGAACCAAATCCTCATTTGAGACATGTTAATTTAAAAAAATCTAAAATTGTGAGGATCTTACCATTATTAAAAAATGGATCACGAGCTACAGAATTAAAGGCCTGTTCTGTTAACCAAATAGGAAAAGTTGTATTAATGATTACTTGTGCGTTTGACACAATTGCGTCTATATTTTTGGTTGCTTATTGCGATAGTCAATTACATTATAATAAAATTTATATCATTTTGGATTCTTCTACTTTTTTTAGTTTTATCTTTAAGATAGTAAAATATGGCATTACAGCATCAAAATATTCGTAATGGGCTGATATTATTATAAACACTCTACAACCAAATGTAAAAGAATTGGACGATCTAAAATTAGTAGTTTGTGATTCGACGGCATCAAAAATATTTAATACATTGTTTAGCCGATTACCTTCTATTATTGAAAACATTGCATGTTCAAACGTAACATGTAAAAGCAATAGAACTATTTCCATGATATACTTAACGTATAATACATATGGAGATTTGAGTGATCTTCCCAATTTCATACAAGAAAGAGTAATGACAGAAAGTTCGGTGTGTGGCTCCATAAAAGGAAATTATTCTTATCAAGAGACAAAAACCATAACCACTTCCATATCAAATATACACATTATAGTGGAATTAATCAAGTGGGAAGGTTGGGGTAAACAAACAAAATATTAAATATTTGAATTCTGTATAATTTTCATACATTTTGGTTTAATTGCAGGTCAGTTACAGTACGGAGGCCAGTCCTCAGTTTAATATAAAACTTGAGGACATACCACAAATAATCGTATGTTCAAATGAAACAATGGAGTTGAGAGGTATTGACTGTTATCGGCCTGGACTCACTCGTCTAATGACGGCAGTTGGCCATTACTATGCCGTTTGTAAAAGAGGGAGCAGTTGGCAGTTGTTTGATGACATGAAAAAACATTCAACCCCAATGAAGTCTACAACAATAAATCCGTGTGAATACTTAGTGTACACAATTTGAGTATATAACATACATAATATGCTTTCTATAAATATTATGTAAAAATTATAAAATAAAATAAATTAATTAAAGAAAAATTATATTATATCAGTATTATATTTTATTAACATAATTTCAATAGTTCAATAGTAAATTCAGCAGTTCGTTTTGGGGGTGCTGGATAAACGTACCCCCAGCACCACCCTGGTTTTTCGTTTGTAGTGCTTCAACAAAGTTCTGTAGTGAGCAGAACAGGGGTTAGGTTTTGAACCGCTGTATATTATTACAGAAATATTTATTTTACTAACGGCTCTTGACAGCTTCGCTTGAACCGTAGATATGTTGGAGCCACAAAATCAATAAGAACTTAGTTTAAAAGTAATATTTATTATAACACATAAAATATAAGCATAAGTACAAATAATTGTGAACCCTTTCAGACCAAGAAATAATTTTTTTGGATAATAATTTTTTTTTTTTTACAATTACATTATCAATGACTAAATAGTAAACCAAAATGTTTTTTTTTTCTTACATTTTTTAATGAGTTATTGATATGTCCTCTATGAAGGACATCAGGTGTATACGGAGTCAAAAGTATGTCAGATTCAAACTTAATTTTATTTATTTTAAAATTATTTTTTTTCCATTTCATTATAATATATGACGCATAAATAAACCAAAATATTTTTTAATTTTCCTATGAGCTATTATTATTTGTGAAGGATATCAAGCGTTTATGGAGTTTATGTAAATATATATTAAATTTTGAGGTATGATAAATGAAATATTTTTAATTAGCATTTTACAAATAACATAATTATATTTAAATAATTATTAATATACACATGATACATAAGAAAAATCAAACAAGTAAAAAGTATTTATAATAATAACAATATGCATTTTTTTCTTTATACCTATTATAATGGATATATTATTACACACATTGTTTTTTCTAAGTATGGTAACAATTAAATTACTTATTCAATATAAGTTATCACCAATATTTATTTTGAAGGAACATTAGACTTGATCACTTATAAAGTACATTTTAATAATAAATTAAATACAAATATAATAAGCAATATCAATTAATCTACTTGAAAATTTTATAGTCAACTGATAACAATATTATTATTATACTATCATATTTTGACGTCTCACAAGCCCAATGTTTCCCTGAGAGGACATACATAACAGCTGAGATATTATCACTCCTATTCACGTTGGGAAAGTTTTAACCGTTCGTACTAGTTAACTACGTTAACGTGACGACAAAAAAAAAAAATGAACAGAATTTTAAAGTCAAGTGTCCCACTCAAAAATAAACATTTATTAACAGCTGTTATCATACATTTGTTTTTCAATATATTTGTAACTTACATTTAGTGTAATACTTTTGCGGAATGAAATACATAATTGTTATTATGATTTTCATAATCTGTATTAGTTTAATGTCAACGTACATGCATTTTTATAACGATTAAACAATTTTAAACTATAGAAATACTAATTTTAATGTGCCTTTGAGGGGACGTTGGGTCTGAAAGGGTTAAGTAAATTTAAGGACAGAACATAAAAGTCTGCCCGAGAAGATAAGTGTTTTAACACTAGAGCTAGGGGTGATGTGTGGCGCCCGGGCTACACGACCAGATAGTGTTTGAGGCTGAGTTCGGATAACTTATTATTTCTAAAACTATTGGACTAACAGTAGTCGTATTTATATGAAACAGCGAAGGCTGTTTTACCCTTCTTACACATGCATATGAGATTTGGATACGGATGTAATAGAGGATTTTTTGAATGCCAAATAATAATTGCCAAGAAAGGACACCTAGGAATAGGTCATGTCTATTAGAACATGTGTAGATTACTAATATGACATATGTCGGTTTACTTCAGTTTGTACAAATTTGGGAAATAGGCATACAAATTCATACAAATGGCATACTAAATATTTAGCAAAAAAATAAAAATACGAAGTTCGTATGTGAGGATGCTGGGGACATGTACGTAAAAGCAATACTTTTAAACAAAAGGTACGTTTTCTATCTACGAGTAAAATAAATATATTTATTTATGAAACATGAAATTAATTTATTCTTTATTATAGGTGATCATGGAGACAATTGTTCAGTCAAAAATATAGATCGTCAAAAATTACCTACGACACGTAAGCGGATTTATCTACTTGTATTAATATTTATAATGATAAGAATATGTAACGATCGTACATGGTTGCCGAATAGTGATTGGTGGAAACGTCTTTTCACAAAAAAAAAAATGATTGACGGAAACGCGAATCCGTACCTTTTTCGTTTTCGGCGGAAAACGGCTATGCGTGAATCAGGGAGCCGGATTTTTGGCGGAAACGGGACATGCCCGCAATTTGTATACCGCGGTTGGTGACGATGCGGTGCACACTGCGAATGTACAACCGGGGTAAAGTGGTTTTCGGCAAGTTGAAGCACGATGACGGAGGACGGACGCGCGTTTCTCGACGCCGCGGTCGTAAACGGTCCGAGAGGAACGATTTACGACGGTATAACGTTTTTTTTTTTTCTTCCCCCTCGTCGATCTCGCCGAGGAAACGGGTGGATGAAAACCGTTTGACCGGATATACCGTCGGGTCGGATCGATGAATCCCGGGGAGGTCCGGACCGACGACGGTTTCGCGGGCCCCGCAGACGTGGTGGGCGTGCGCGTACCCGCTAGAGGGAACGAACATTACGTGGTGCACGACAACGTGCACGTGCGGTATGATTATCGTGTAGGTGCACGACATCCTGTGCGGTAGCGCGCGATTCGATCGGGCGACGACGCGGAAGGGAAAAAAAAAATAAAAAATGGTTTTCCGTCGTCCCGTCGTCATTATCCGTTTCCGTGTTTGCGGTTTTCGATCGCACTACCCGCAAACGCGTTAAACACACACACACACACACACACACACACACACACACACACACACACACACACCGCCGACGTGCACGTTCGAAATTGACTTCTGAGTTCCGCGGCTCGATTGTTGTGCGCCGCCTTCGGTTGCGGCTGCGGCTGCGGCGGCGGCATCTTGAAAAAGCGTAAAACGAGAACTCGGGCCGTCGGATTGATTTCGGTTTCCCGACGGCACGAGCTGCTGCCGCCGCTTTGTTGCCCGCGGTACGCACGTAATGCTGTCGAGAAACGGACCCACCTCATCGACCGTTCGTTGTTTTCTGGTTTTTTCCGTGCGTTCATTGTTCCGCGCGCGTTGCGTTCCGCGGTTTCCCGTAGAAAATCCGTCCCCCGACCGTCGTTGTCGACGGTGCACGTCAAGTCCGTATACCGCACGACGCTATGTTTTACGTGCCGCCGGCCGGACGCTCGTCACGATTCGGTTTTCTTCATCTCCTCGCAGGACCGTACGAGGAAAGAAAATCATGATTTTAGCGCGTCATTATTATTTCACGTACCGACCGGGTTCGCGTCGCGCGGCTTGTTACAGCGGTAACGTGCGCCGGCCCACGTATGCGAACGCGATCGTTTCGGCGCGTTAGTAGGGCGAAACGAAAACCGCGGCGCGGAAAAAGCGCGCTCGTCGGGTTCCGAGTTCTACGATCGTGATACGGCGCGACAAACGATCGACCCTCGAATTCGAGAACAGCGGACGATGTACGACGGGATGACACGCGGAAAGAAGTGTTTCAACGTTTCCTATAGCACGTCCTCGAAGAAACTTCAACAGGATTGTTTTCTCGTACGCGACACGTGCGGAGCAGCCAAAGCTTAAGACACTGTGCGGTCACGTAGTCCGGCAAACTCGAAAGTAAACGAAAATCATTTAATAGCGAAAAAACGTATTTCTAATGAATAACCGAAATTTGCTCTGGACTCTTATACGTTTTCAAACGTATGTTACAACGTCAGCTCTAAAACGCCCAACCACAAATCACTCCACGTGTGCACTTGTCACTAAGACGGCCGTAATGTTTTTTCGAGTTGAATCGGTTAGCGGTTCCCGGCGGGTAATTACGCGTGGAATAACCGTGCAACAGGTCTGGTGTCGACGGCAGGTCTTATTCTAACGGGAAGTACGACCCAAATCGGGTAATACGAAAAATCAAAAGGGTAGTTGACTTTACGAATATGGGCACCTTACAAAAATATAATTTTCCTTGCAGAGTGATCGAATTTCTACTGTGTAATTGAAATTTGCGTAATTTATAAACCCGACCTACTAGTACCTAATAAGTAATAATTATGTAAGTTTACAGTTTTTGCTACTCCGATGATTGATCAATCCACGGAATTCAAATTTAAACAGTGGTATAAGTATGACGGAAAACATCCATATTTTTATTAAACATTTTACCACGCGATGGTCAAAATTGTTCAATGTACAATTTATTTGGGAGGTGAAAAGTATTATAATTCAAATAAGTTTTATAAAACAAACTTTTCAGTGTGTTTGAGCAGCGGGTAAAAATCCTTAAAGTCCCTAGAATAAGCCCCGGTCGACGGTGTAATTTTTTCGCGTTTCCTAACCACAATCCAACCGATTGCCGACCAACACGTTATGGACGTTCATTGTGCGTCCCAAACGTGCAATTATCACCGTCGCGACGCTTTAAAATCATGATTTCGATCATCCCGAAACCAAAATATCCCTCCACTGGTACCGCAGTGACCGCTTCCGTCGAGTAATGTCACGCGGGCGGATATCACGTCCGGGATTGCCGTTTTCGTCCGTGAACATTATTCGTGTATTTTTCATGTATTTTTCATTCGAATTAAACGAAAAAAAAACAATTCGTTCGTGCACGCCAATCTCGACAAGTGGCGTCTGCGCCACACATCGTTCCCAGATGATTCGTACGATCGACTCGGAATGCTAATCGCGTACGTACATGATGTGTAATAGTCGTCGGTGTTCACCTCGCAAGCTCCTAACAGATCGTTTGCAAAACGATCTCCAAACAAATATAAATGTATCGCGATTGCACGACTGTATTATGTATCGAATCGAGGCTGAATTTATT